CGGGGACGGCGAGGCGGCGGGACGATGGCCGAGCCCTCGGACAGGCTCTACCGCGCAGAGTACGCCAAGAGCGGGCGCGCCTCGTGCAAGAAATGCGGCGAGAGCATCCCCAAGGACTCGCTGCGCATGGCCATCATGGTGCAGGTGGGCGGCGGGCTGGGCCGGGGTCGGGGCGCGGCCTGCGGACCGGACCGGACCGGATCTGGCCGTGCCTCGGGGTCGGCAGAGGAGGATCGAGCCGGCCGGGGGGGCGGGGAGCCGAGCTGCCTGCGCCCGCGACGCGGCTGAGGGCTGCTCTCTGCCCGCTCTCCCGGAGACTCCGCCTCTCGAGGGAGCCTGCCTCCGGCGCGTGCGGGAAATGTACATATGTGTGGTTTTTTAACTTATTTTGAGCTGTTACTTCAAAACCCGCTCACTTTCAGACTTATTTTTTTCTTTCGGTTTTTATTTTAATTACGCAGAAATGTGAAGACTCATTTCTGTGTAGCGCATTCACATGTGGCCTACTTTGAGATTTAAAATCGTTTCCCCCACAACTTTAAAGGAACACGGATGCGATCTCAGCGCTTTTGCAGCTGTCTTGCTTGAGTAAGAATGATGCAGTGGGTTTCACGTCTAGGCTTGGGTGGGTTTTTTTGTTTGTTTGTTTTTTGTTTTGTTTTGTTTTGTTTTTGAGGCAGGGTCTGGCTGTGTGGTTCAGGCTGGCGTTGAACTTACCTCTGCAGCCTAAACTGGCTTCAGTGATCCTCCTGCCTCAGCCTCCTAGTGCTTGAGTTATGGGCTTGTACCACCGCACCTAGCCTCATGGAGGCTTTTTGATAGATTGAGGGTCTCCTCTGATGGTTCCTGGCTTCCCACATGGCCAGGGAGGTGTTGGGATGCGATGCACAGTGGGTGTCGGGCTTGAAAGCCTCTGCTCTGGCTTCCCGGCCTCCAGCCTGCTGATGTCTGCCTTTACAGTTCTTGCTCTTGCCTACCTGTCCCTCCGCACCTTCAGCGAAGACTGTCTGTCCCCCAAGCCCAGTGCTAGCGGTCAGAGTTAATGGTCTTGCCCTTTGCCTCGGGGCTGTAATATGGGAATGACCTGATCGCCTCCACTGGCTTTCAGTACTTGTGGGGTAGAGAAGAGGAGGACCGTTGACCCAACAGGTACCAGGGGGCCGGCTGCATTTCTGTGACCTCTCACAGTGCCCTGGGGACGGACAGACGCTGTGTCTGGGTAAATCAGTGCCTGCCTAGCTGGGCACACAGTATTTACTCGTTCTAGGGATGTTTGTTTCTTAACATTTGTGATGGGGTGTAACCCAGCAGATTTCAGCAGAGGTCAGTGAGGACAAAGGTAATTTTTTTTTTTTTTTTTTTTGTCTTTTTGAGAGGAGGTCTTGCCGTGCAGTTCAGGCTGGCCTTGAGCTCACTTTGTAGCCCAGGCTGGCCTCAAACTTGCAACTATCCTCCTGCCTCAGCCTCCTGAGTGCTGGGATCACAGGCGTGCACCACAGTACCCAGCCAAGGTAAATTTTTAATGAGAGAATCCACCCTTGGGAGCTTCCCAGGGTGAATAACCCCTTTGGAGCTGGGCTCTAGGCAGTGTCCCAGGAGGGTGTTCAATGTGTCCCACTAACTGAGGTTAGTGGAGAGTAGGGGGCACAGACACGGAGCAGGATGGTGAGCATGGACAGAGGAACCAGGAGCACGGGATGAGAACAGGAAAAAGCCGCCTGTCCCGCCAAAGGCCTGTGCACTCCACCTACCTTGCACACAGCAGCTCCTGCAAAGTTCCCACTGCTAGTGCACGGTCTCGTGTGGTAATAGGCTTGAAGCCAGGCCTTCGCACTGAGCTACATCCCAGCCTTTTTTTTTTTTTTTTTTTTAGTACTGAAATAGTCTCAGAATTGCTGAATATCCCAGACTGGGCTTGAATTTAGGATCCTCCTGCCTCAGCCTGCCAGCATGCTGGGATTACAGGCTTGTGCCGCCACAACCCCCAGCTGTTGTTCTGCTTCTTAACCTGGGGTCGGTGAGATTGTGGGTAGAACTCAGGAGATCCCCAAGTTTAGGTGAGAAAAAAATTTATGTCTTCACTAACGTCTAGGTGAAGTTCATTATTCTAGGTATTGTAGCAGCACTTGTGAATTCCATCACCAACAGTAGTATCAGACTGGTTCCTGTCCCTGTGTAGCTAGGGATTTCTCAGAATGACATTTGTCTTCATCTGGTAGGCTTCCGGTTACCCCCAACACACTGACTTTAATATTTGATAACTTTTTTCAGTACAGTTCGCTTTCCTTGTGGGCCTGTGCATCTTACTACACGTTCTAGGGTATTCGCTGCACATGCTTGTCCAGCCAGTCTCCGGCCTGCCGTAGTAGGGAGAGTGGCTAGAAACACGCTTCCAGTCAGCCCGGGGACTGGGTCCATGCCTGTAAAGGAGGAGCAGAGAGGATGGGGTCGGGTTCTAGAAGCTCCCTGGGTGGAACCAGGTTGGTGAACCCTCAATTCAGTATTCTGGGCCTTCAGGGTACTTGGTAGTGAAAGAAGTCTTTATTCAAAGTGGGAGTTTTTTTGTTGTTTTTTGGTCTTTTTGAGACAGGGTCTCACTATGCAGTTCAGGCTGGCCTTCAGCTCACTTTGTATCCCAGGCTGGTCTCAAACTCAAAACAATCTTCCTGCCTCAGCCTCCTAAGTGTGCGCACCATGCCTGACAGTAAGTGTGTTTCTTGTTGTGATTTGAAGTTTAAATTAAAAATCATTTAAAACTGATCTTATAGGGGTGGGGGATTTAGCTCAGCAGCACAGCGCCTGCCTGGCAAGTGGGAGGTTGTGAGTTCGATTCCCGGTACTTGAGGGGGGCGGTATGTGGGGCAGGGGAATAATAATAAAATTGATCCTATAGGTGGAGCTGTGTGGGCCAGAAAGAGAGAAGCTTTTCTTTCCAGGGCTTGAATTTAAATTCCTTTTCTTTTACATTTGTATGGGAGATTTGTGCTCCAGGCACCAACACCTCATGCTTTAGCTGCCGGCCGGCTGCAGCTGGGACCATCAGCATCTTTATTTCTTTGAGGCTAGCTTTTGTTTTTGTTTTGAGACTGAGTGTCAGGCAGTGGATTGTGGATTTGAGCCATCCTGCCTCAGCCTCCCAGTGGCTGGGTCTATGGGCAAGCCCTCCACACCCAGCCTTGGAGCAGTTTGACTGGGGTCAGGGCCCTGCAAGGTTCCAGAAGGGCACTCAGGAGGTCTTTCTGTTCTGGTGGCTTCCTGGCAAGGACTGTTTGGCACAGGAGGAGCTGAGCCATCAGCGCCCAGCGAGGGCTGTGTGAGCACGCTGGTATGTGGCAGGTGATCAGTGAGTGTGCGTGGGGTGCACGGCTGAGGTTTTCATACTTGCCCTGGGCTTCACACTCAGTCTCGTGTCCCTGGTGTAGGGCCTTTCTGCTGGATCCTGCTCAGCCCTGGGTCCTCAGGGTTCTCTAGCGTGTGCCCTTGAACAGTGCCTTTGGAGTGCCCAGTACCCAGATCAAGGGGCAGCAGGTGTGGGTCCCCTGCAGAAAAATGCCACAGTCACGGAATGTTTGGGAAGAGGGGAGGACGTGGGTACAAGGCAGGAAGAGCTGGCTTGCGGCCACTGCCAGCAGCTACCTCAGGGCGCCTGGTGAGATGGGGCGGAGCTGAGGCTGCTCTGAAGATAGCATTTGTTTTCTGCTGGGGAAACTCGCAGTCCTCCTTCCCTCCAGACTGAGGCCTCCAGCAGACACTTGGCCTGCCCTCTGCTGAGTGCTGCTGGATGCGTGCAACATTGCAGGGCTGTGCCTGTGCAGCTGCCGGGAGTAACCTTCGGGGAGCTGAGGATGAGGCCCTGGGCCCGCAAAGGTGCTGCTGCTGTCCGCTGTGAGCACGGCAGGCGCGGTGCTGTGGTGACCCTGGCTGATGAGCCCGTGGGAGCCCTTCTCAGCCTCCGCCTTCTTATTACATCTGTGTGGCCTTTAGTTTTCTGTGCTGTAGGAATTTATTCTGGGCCTCTTCCTTTGGGACAGTTTGTGCTGGGGTTCATGTATTATAAGTTCCTCTTCTGTAGGGGAAGAGCCCAGTATGAGTCTGGGGTTCAGGTTGAGGCATTTACTGCTGTGACCCCCCAGGCACGCTTTGTGGGGTGTGCTCCCCACTTGTGCTGGTTGTGGGGTGCACTGCATGGCTTAGTCCCTGTGAGGGATGTACGGCTAAGTCAGTTGAGTATCCTCTTCTCCCAGCAGCTGTCACCAGCCATTCTCCTGAGCCAGCGAGTGCTGGGCTCCAGAGTGGAACCTGGCCCTGCCCCAGGAAAAGGCCCAGTGTGTTAGGTCAGTGCCAGCCTGCAGGTGTGACAGTGGGAAAGGAAGCAACTGGAAGGGGGACCTCTCCTTTCCCTGGCCCTCCCTGACCCTCCCTCCCCTGCCTGGGAGAAAGCCTCACAGCTCTGCAGCCCTGATCTGCAGAAGCTCACTCTGCTTCTAGCACAGAAGTTAATTCACTCCCCTCACGCCTGCTCTGCCTCTGAGGCTGGCACTTTTTTCTGGTGCATCTTCTCTGCCTTGCTCATTATCTGGGTCTTATTTCTCCTTACTGTTGATGCAGAGGTGCTTAACGAGCCCATCGTGGGTCAGACAAGGCTTTTGAGTCCAAGTGTGACTGTCTTGACTTAGCCCTTCTTGGCAGGTACTGGGGCTGGGACAGTGAGTGGCCTGTGCAGCACATCACTGATGTGGATGGCCCATGCTTAAAGGGACATGGGGCAGAGCTCTGTGGCTTGATTTCATGTGCTGAGAGAGTGGTGTTGGCCACGCTTTCCAAGCTGTTGGAAGATCTTGAGGAGGCGCATGTGACAGGTTTGTCTTCCACTGTTACCCTCAGAGTGACGTGGAAGACACAGGCCGGGCCTCCCTCCTTTTTGCAGAGAAGCAGACGGGCTGCCTTCGATGCCCCGTGGCTGCGTGCTGGGGGGTTGGGCCAATCTGCCTGCTTACTCACCTCCTCTGTTCCTGCCTTCCAGTCACCCATGTTCGATGGCAAAGTCCCGCACTGGTACCACTTCTCCTGCTTCTGGAAGGTGGGCCACTCTATCCGGCAACCTGACGTCGAAGTGGATGGCTTCTCTGAGCTGCGATGGGACGACCAACAGAAAGTCAAGAAGGCTGCAGAGGCCGGAGGAGTGACAGGTACTTGCTGCCCAGAGCTGCTCTCTCCCCTGTTCCACAATATTGGGCAGGGACACGGGGTAACCTTTCAGCAATGCTGTGTTGACCCACACTGGGATTTTATTTTTTCAGATGCTTGAAACAGAGCCTTTTTGCCGGGCGTGGTGGCACATGCCTGTAATCCCAGCACTTGGGAGGCTGAGGCAAGAGGATCATTGCAAGTTCGAGATCAGCCTGGGCTACAAAGTGAGCTCAAGGCCAGCCTGGACTGCATAGCGAGACCCTGTCTCAAAAAGGCCAAAAATATATAGCCTTTTTGTTTTGTTTTGAGACAGGGTCTCAGCCTCTTGAATGCTGGGATTACAGGTGTGTGCCACCACACCTGGCCTAGACCACCTTCTTTTAGAGCAGTTTTAGGTTCCCAGCAAAACTGAGCAGCCTACAAAAGTACCTAATTCCCATCCACCACCAGCCTCTCAAAATGCCTTTCCCCCATGAAAGCACGCGCCCCACCCCCGTGCGCCTCTGTTACAATGACAGCCTCCCTTCGCAGCAGTCCTGAGTGCAGGGCTTGCCTCGGGTTCCCTCTTGGTCTGTGCATCTTGTGAGGTAGGACAAGCATGGAGTAATGTGTGTCCACCATGCTGGGTCTGCCCGGTCAGCCCTCCCCGCCAGCCAGCCCTGGAAGCTGCAGACCTCTGACTGTCCCCATGATTTCTGGTTTTTTGTCTTAGCCCCTCTCATGTCAGGTAGCAGACAGCATGAGGCCTAGCTACTGAACACCTAACTAGGAGACCAGTTGGAGGCAGCAGCGGAGTGGCAGGGAAAGTGGGGCAGACACCGTCTTTGAGCTCTGCAGTCCACTCAGTGAGTTGGCTCCGAGGCCCCTGTGCACCGCAGACGGCATGTGCTCAGGTCACTTTCATAAGTGTGAGCGCTGGGCAGCTCATTGTTACTGTTCACGAGGGTGGGGAAACATGTACAACTGGGTGCAGACAGCCCTTCCCCCAAATACTTGACTCACACTTGGCTGCATCTCAGGGTGTGAAGCCTGCAGATAGACGGCTGACTTACAAGGCAGCGTGTCAGGCAGGCCTCAGCTTCATGAAGACAGCCGTGACCTGGCCATAGGGGATGTCTCCAACATGGCTCTTGGCAGTGAGTTTCAGAAAAGCCGCTCCCAGAAAGAAAAGGGAGGTGCTCCCTCACACCGTGCCAGCTCCCCACACACCGTGGACTCTGCTTCTCCGGCAGTCTTGTTGCACTGCGCACCACAGCCCATAGCTCCCTCTGAGTCTCGGGGGTGGGCATCAGAGGCTCCCTGTGGTGGGGTGCACCCTGAGGCAGTCGCTGGCCGTGGCAGGGAGCAGGACTGTGCCTACAGCTGTGCTCTCGGAGAGCTCTCAGCCAAGCCAGGGAGGAGATGCACTGGGCCTAGCACAGGCAACTGTAAGGCTCGTTCTTCTGATGTTTGGTTTTTTGGTTTGGTTTGGTTTGGTTTGGTTTTTTTTCCGGTACCGGCAATCAAACTCACAACTTTGTGCTTGCCAGTTAGGCGCTGTGCCACTGAGCTAAATCCCCAGCCCCTCTTCTGATGTTTGAATGCTTATCTGTTTGAAATTTATCCTGATGTGTCCCAGTATGTGGGTTTTTTTCCCTATATGGCAGCTTAGTTTTCCCAGCTCTACTTATTGACTGGTTCTTCCTCTCCCCTGTTGATTTGAAAGACTTTTTTTTGTCAGCAGACAAAATCCCTATGTTAGGGAGGGCTTTCAGAAATTTCTGTTTCATTGATCTGTGTCTTAGTCACTTCATCACAGAGACACAGTCCCTGCCACCTGCAGCCCTAAAGAGGAGAGGTGTGTTTGGGCTCACGGTGCATAGAGGTTTCAACCTATGGTCAGCTGGCAGAGGAGCATCACAGGGGGAGCTTGCACTCCACATGGCAGGTGAAAGACCCTTCTAGACCATGCCCTGCGACCTACCTCCTCCCCAAAACCCCACCTGTGATCTTGTGGGGCTTTGGAGGATATCTAGATATAAACTGTAACATTCTGTTTTAGGTTTTTTTAAGTAGGCTTTATTTTGTAGAGCAATTTTAAGCTCATAGCAAAATTGAGCAAAGTGCAGACCTCCCCTCTGCACAGCACTGCATCACAGCCTCCCCTGTCAGCAGCCCCATGGTGTATTCGTGACCAGCAGACTACATTGACACACGTTATCATGCACAGTCCATAGTTCACATTAGGGTCTGCTCTTGGTGTTGTATACTCTTAGGGTTTTGACAAATGTATGACGTATTTTCACCGTTACAGTATTGTGGGGTATAATTTCATTGTGCACTGTGCCTGTTCACCCTTCTGTTCCCCATAGCCCCTGGTGACCATTGATCTTGTATCATGTCCATAGTTTGCCTTTTCTAAAATATCACTTAGTTGAAATCCTACAGTAATATCCTTTCACGTGGGCCTGTCTCACTTAGGAATAGACACTGGAGGGTCCTCCATGTCTTTTTATGGCTTGGCACCTCGTTTCTTGGTATCCTGGGTCATACTCCACCATGTGGCTGTGCCAAGGTATATGTATTCACCTGCTGAAGAAAAGCCTGGTTTATTCCAAGTTTTGACAGTTATAAATAAAGCTGTCGTAATAAAAGCCTGTTAGCTATCAGTCACTGTGACAAAATACCTGAGACAAAAACTTAAAAAGAAGAAGGATTTATCTGGGCTCGGTGTCTGGAGTTTGGTTGTTTTGTCGCATCATTTTGGACCTGTGGCCAGGCAGGAGATCATGGTGGGGGGACACATAAGCAGCAGAGATGGGAGGAGGGGAGCCAGGCCTCAGAGCCCCTCTAGATCGCTCACCCAGGAGGCCCCATCTCAAGTTCTTGCCACCTGCCAGGAGTGTGACAGTGGCGGATAAACCTAAAAAGCTTTTGCGTGTGGTGGTGGTGGAGGGAGCATTTCGGATATAAACCAAACATGCGGATTTCCACACAGACGTGTTTTTAACTTTAGATGAGTACCAGGGAGCTTGGGTTGCTGTATCATACGGTAAGAGTGCTTTTTGTTTGCTATTAAGCTGTGAAGCCATCTTCTTCCCAAATAGCTGGAACATTTTACATTCCCAGCAGCAGTGAGGGTTCTGTCACTACATCCTAACTAGCAATTGGCAGTGTCTGTTTTTAGGTGTGTAATATATCATTGTTTTAATTTGTGCTTCCCTGGTACTGCATGATGTGTAACATCTCATACACTTATCTGCCGCCTGTTCATCTTTGGTGAGGTGTCTGTCTAGATCTTTTGCCCATTTTTAAGAGATCTTCGTGTATTTGTTACAATAGCCCTGTATCGGGTAGGTCTTTTGTAAATATTTTGTCCCAGTCTGTGGCTAGTCATTTTCAGTACCTTTCTTTTTTGGTACCAGGAATCAAACTCAGGATCTTGTGCCTGCCAGGCAGGCGCTGTACTGCTCAGCTATATCCCCGGCCCCTCAGTGTCTTTCATAGTGCAGAAATTTTTCATTTTAATGAAGTCTAGCTTACCGTTTTTTTATGGATTATTCCTTTGTATTACAGCTGGAAAGTCATCCCCAGGCCCAGGGTCATCTAGGTTTTCTCCTACATCACCTTCAAGGAGTGTTGGGGTTTTGTGTAAGGGTTGTGTCTAGATTTTTTTTTAACACAGATGTCCCTTGTTCCACCACCACTTGTCAGAAGACTGCTCTTTTGCCTTTGCTTCTTGTCAAAGATCAGTGGATTGTATTTGAGTGGATCTACTTTCTGCTTACCCCTTAACCAATCAATACCCGCATCTTAATTGCTAGAGTTTGTTTGTTTATTTATTTATTTTTGGTACCAGGAATCGAACTCAGGACCTTGTGCTTGCCAGGCAGGCGCTGAACTATATCCCCGCCCCAATTGCTAGAGTTTAGAATGAGCCTTCAGATCAGGTGGCGTCAGTCCTCTGATTTGATCTTTTCGTTCAGTGTCAAGTTGGTTCTTCTGAGTCTTTTGTCTCTCCTTAAAAACTTTAGAATCATTGTATTGTTGTCCATAAACAACTTGTTGGGTGCCTTTATGTCTTTAGAAAGTCGGTCTGCATCACTTTTCAAAGAAACCTGCTGAGCTCAAGTTCACATTCCCTGCCTTGCTAAATTACCAGGTTCAGCCTATCAGGACTTAGTGGCCTTCCCTCTGCATGGAGTTGTTTGTGTCTGTGCTAAAGTGCTGTACTGTGTTTCTTCTCCCTGCTTGTCCCTCTTGCCACGCTAGTGTGTTTAACTTCAATCCCTTCTGACCTGCTGAAAACAGATTGCTCAGAATAACAGTAAGTGTGCCATGGAGAGGTCTTAAGAGTGCCATAAAGTTAAAATAGTACCTGCTGATTGTCTAGGGATTTTTTTTTTCCAAAGAGCCTGACTATTTTTAGACATGAAAAGTTTAATTCGACCCAGATCCTATGATGGTATTGCTAGCAGAATTTTAGCCTCTTAGCTAAGAAATAGAGCTGCTGTAAATTTGTTATACATAATTGGCTGTTCAGTTTTTGTTCCAGGAACTGGAATTGCCACTCAAAGGAATGAACAACCTTATGGAGACCTCCCATAGATGAACCAGGTTGCCTTCCAGAAAACTGTGTCAGTTACAGTGTACCAGTTTCTCCCATTCTGAAGTATTTTCACTTTTTATTTCACTCCTATTGCAGTGGAGTGCTTTGTTGTATTTATTAGCTTTTCCTATAATTTGTGTTACAATTGGCCCATCATATCTTTGGGTTCCTCATCCACTGATGCACCCAATATCTTATTAAAAATACTTTGGGAAAATCTCCGCTGAATCTATTTAGGCTTTTTCCCATGTCACTATTCCCTAGCAATACTGTATCACAAGAGATACATAGCATTTATATTGTATTGTGTATTTTAGTTATCTGTAGGTGTTGTAAGGAATACATAAGAATCTGTATATGCAAAGACCATGCCACTTTATATAAGGTGCTTGAGTGTCATGCATGTTGCCGTCTTTGGCGTTCTGGAACCAGTTCCCCACAGATACCACGGGACAACTACACAATTAATCCATGTCCCTCATTTTTCTTTTTTTTTTTTTTTTTTTTTTTGGTTTTTCTCTGGTACCGGGAACCGAACTCACGATCCCTCATTTTTCTTGCAAGGTACCTTGCTTTTTTTTCTTTAATGAAATATCAAAGATGTTCTTTGTCATCACATTTATATGTGTGTATAATTTGACATTTTTCTTTTAGCTTTGTCTATTGTATATTTTGCCATAAGTTTTAGTAATGTCTCAGTAGTCATGTGTTTCTTGTTTGTTGTATCTTTTTGGTATTGTACCTAAAATGTTAAAAGTAACCTACATGGGGTTATAGGCACAGACCTGAAGGTACAGCTCTGTGGGTTTTTGCAGACGTACACGTCAGCGTATTCCCCATCAAGTTGTACAGCAATGCTGTCCCCCAGGAAGCTCTCTTTGTGCCCTTTGCCAGCCGTCCTCCCCACCCAGGAACCCACTGCTGTGGTTTCTGACATCGGAGATTGATTTTGCCCAGTTTGGAATTTGGGAAAGGAATCATGCTTCGTCATATGAGTCCTTAGTCCCTTTTTAATTACTAAAGAGTAAGGGGCTGGGGATTTAGCTCAGCGGCAAAAGCGCCTGCCTGGCAAGCGCAAGGTCGTGAGTTCGGTTCCCGGTACCGGAGA